TCCTCCTCCTCCTCCTCCGCTGTGCTTTTGAGAAACCATGAGGCCTTTTTTTCCTGCTCCCGCCCCCTCTGCTGCCTTTCTACTGGCTCCCATGGCCTTATGGCTCCTCAAAAGCACGTCAGAGAAGGAGGGGGGAAGGATAATGCAGGACCCAGCTTAGGTGCTCCGAGCGGAGGGGGAGGCACCACTGCCAGGGGTGGGGGTGCCGGCGGGAGCTTTGGCGGCTTCACCTCAGCCGCAGCGTCGGGCGGCAAATCCAGCAGTGCTGTTGGAGAAGGAGGAGGCGGCAGCAGATATTCTGGTGGCAGCGGAGGCTTTGGGGCTTCAGCCACAGCACCGGGCGCAAGCAGCTAGGACTGGCTGCCCACAAAAGACCTCCCTGGGCTTGCTTTGCTGAAAACGGGGTGACTGATAGTAATGAGCAGCGCAGCCGGCGCCTAGGAGGAACATTGCCAGCGTCCCCGGAAGTTAATTACTTCTGGGTTCACCGACCAACTGGTCCGCAAGAACCAGCAAGGATGGTAGGAACCCACCCCTGAAACTACCTCTTGTGACAGTTCATCAGTGTCAAAAGTGTGTCAGCCTTGCAAACAACACAAACATTTTAATGATTCAAGAAATTTGCCTTTATTCGTTACCCACTCTTTCAAAGATTTGTATGGCCCTATTTCTTCCTTGGCTCATTCTCTGTTATTTATGGCCAGTTTAACTTTATGTCAACAGCATCATTAGCTTTTTGTCAAAGAATGTAGGATAAATCTATCCAAACTTGGCATTTCCTTGTTCTCTCAGTTTGGATGTTGCAAGCCCACCTGTACCAGAGGGAAAGCAATTTGGGAGATTACATTCTTATGATAAAATATTGGCTCTTTAATAGTTCCAATATCTCCTCATGCTGCTTTTAATAAGACACTATATCAGTTCTTTGGCTTTTACTGTGGCAGGCAGATCCAGCATTTGCCATTTTACTTAATTGTTAAACATGAAACTTCCATATTCAAATGCAATGGATGATTAGATGTCAGGAATTATCAGGAACAAGTCAGTGTAAATGGTGACCAAAATTTTAGATCAAGGAATGCTTTGATTTGTGTTACAGTTTCTTGTGGACTGCAGGAGACTTTCCAGTCTGCCCTCAATAAGCTTTACCTTTGGGCAGAAAGAATTCACATTAACATCAAAGCAATATATAATTAAGGTATGTATCAAAGCTTTAATGATGTTCATTTAATGATCACTTAATAATGAATTTTAATTTAAATAATGCTGTGCTTCAATGATTAGATGTCCTAGACATAGATCTTTTTAACATATTTTATTGGAGTCTACTAATCTATCTGAAATGTTAATATATATTACTAGTCCATGTATGATATACCATATGATAAATAAATCAATAATGAATACATTTTCTAGCACCACACAATAGGCATAAGTGCAGATTTTCATCTGCATGATTTTATTACACAATAATAATATTACACAATATTATTTTGGAAGGGTTTAGAAATTGGCTCAAAGAACTTTTTAATATATTGTTCCTTATCTTTCATATATCAGTTCCTGTTGCAGTCAGAATATGCTGCTTTAGGACTATTTTCTCCTTCAGTAAATAAATTTGCTCATTTGGTGATGAGACTGTACACAGGATGGACCTAACTTATCTGGAGATAACCATCCTTGGGTAGGTGATGGTAATATTGGGAGGAAATGGATCCTTTTGCCCTCAGTCTAAAGAAGAGGCCTCGTGCTCCAGCTGTCAAGTCCAATTGCCCCAAGGCTTGGGCAGCAGGATTTCCATTTAATCTGTTCTATTCATATGTGATTATGGATTGGTAATTAAGTCAAGCTGATTTTTCATGAAGCCATGCAATAGTTCAGATTCTAGTTCAGATTGAACAGAAGAGGATAGAAGAGACTGAATAAAGAGACAATGATTAGATCATACTGATGTGATGGTAATCCAAGAGCAAGTATCCATGGTGAGAGGTTGACTGCAAGAGTTTTAAAAGGCCTACCCAGTGTACCCAATTGGCTCCCAGGAGAGATAGAAAAGAGCAATTGGTGACTCTTCTCCAGATATTGCTGAACCAGAATGCCAAGCAGCTTGAGCCAACATGGCCATTAAGAACATCTGGAGAAGCACATGTTGACTACCTTAGTTGATAGAATCAGCTGTGTTTCAGAGGTTACCTGAATGGCATCCTTTCTTCACAAGATAGGTTTAAAGATCTTGTCAATTCATGGTTACATTAACATTTTTGGGGAGTGAGGACCACAGTAGAAGAAGTCTTGCTTCCAATGTGGGTGGTATCAGGATTTTCTGCTTTTCCTGGATTTGGGGCAGTTCTGAGACTATTATTATTATACAATTGTATCACAGCGGCCAGTTGTTTCACCGGATTTGGCATTGGTTACTAGTTGGGCCCCACCCAGGGGCTTAGGACGTCGTAACATATTTTCGTAATATGCACCCAGGGGCTTAGGACATCGTAACATATTTTCGTAATATGCACTACGTAATATGTAACCCGTCCGGGAAAAACCCCTGGACTATTACAATGAGTGGCCAGCCCCAGCTGACTGTGGGAAGAGATCACCATGGATTTCATCACCGAGCTTCCAAACAGCGGCGGTAATAGAGTAATCTTGACAGTTATTGATTTGTTTTCCAAGCAAGCACATTTCATCGCTTGCTCGGGGTTGCCATCCGCAAAGAAATTATCGAAAATGTTTGTGAAACACATTTATCGCCTACACGGGGTGCTAAAAAAGGGTCATTTCAGATCGC